TTGTTAAAAAAATGATATCTGTCCAAAGTTATTGAAACGTGTGCTAAAATATGTAGACTAGAATGAGTTGAATGTGTTGGCTCTGAGTATCACATGATAATGAATCAACTTGATGGCATGAATTAAGCTAAAACTTGAACTGGGTAATCTGATAATTCGAATAATAAAACTATGTGCCAAGAGTGTGTGAGAATAGTTGATTGTTCAAACAGTTTTTGTGCCAATCTAGAACTTGCCCGGTTAGTCCTGCTAAGACAATCTACTCTAGAGGCTAGGAAGTGATCATAGGCCCTTGTTCTGATAAGTCCATAAATTGCCTAAAAGAAGAATCCAACCAAATGAAATAAATGTTCCCTTTGATCCAAATTCTTTGAGCCTAAATTAGACCATTTCTTTCTAAACCCTTAACTCACCTTTCCCATAATCTAGTATGTTGGCCCCTGGGTCCCTCCTTGGACATGTGCACCTCAATCAATGGAAAATCCATAAGTTGAGGGTGACTATGAAAGAGGAAACCGAAACAAAATAGGTATGAAAAGAGTTTGATGTTGAAAAAGAGAAAAAGAGAAGAGAGGAAAGGATGTGACTTGTTGAAAGCTAAAGAAAAGAATAAAATGTAAGAAAAAAATGAAAGTGAAAAATAAGAGCGACAAAGTCTAAAGTCACATCCATGGTTGAAAAAGAATCAAGGGAAACAAGGTAAAATGGTAGGATGTCAAAAATAGGGCAAAAAGAGGTAGAAAGCCTAATGTAATGTCAAGGAGGGCAGAAAGTCACTAAAAAGTACCCAAATGCACCACACCTGACCCTAAGCCTACGTTACAAGCCAAGAAAGTCCTATAGTGATCCTAGAACCTAGTTTGGAGAGTCTAAGCAGTGAAAATAAGGGCAAGCCTATAGTATTGAGCACTAACTGTACTTGAAGTTATTTCTGAGTGTGAGTGTTGAATGAATCCTTGTACCAAAAATTAAATTCATTGTGTGAAAAAGGGATTTCGTTCAAAGTAAGGGTACTAGTTACATTGTCGGAAAGTTGGTACCTTGGTGACACTACTAGAAATATGATCTAATGGCACGGTTAAGTTACCGTAGCAATAGGCTTAGCTACCGTTGCTTTACCTCTAACGCCACGGTTTAGGCAACCGCTACAACAGAAGGCGTAGCAATAGATCTATTGCAACGGTTTTTTCTTACGGTTACAATAATTGTAGCAGTAGATGGCCCTATTGTGACGGTTTCCGGATTAATTAATTGCCAACGGTTAAAGTTGTATTGGTACGGTTATGAACCGTCGCACTAAAGTTTTATGCCACATTTATTTCCAGTCAATACCGACGGTTAACACCCTATTAGTACGGTTATGTACCGTCGCGATAGATTTTTATGCAACAGTTCTTTATAGGCTATTGCTACGATTATTTTAACAACCATTTCATTCTATTGCAACAGTTATTATATGGTAATGCATCAGTTTTAAGCTATTATATAATTGTTGCTCAATGTCTATTGCTACAGTTATTACAGGGTTAGCAACAATTCTTTATTTTTTGCAACAATTAATATCAAGCTATTGCAACGATTAATATTAGGCTATTCCAACATATATATACTGTGGGTTTCACATATATTATTAATTGAGCCATTGCAATACTTTTGTAGCATAAAATACACATAAAAAGATCATGGGAAGAAATTATATTTCATTACCAAAATTATAATCTAAGATCCATGGTTGCAATTGGGTACATAGTAACGATAAAAGCAAAATACATAAACATTTTCAGCTATTCAAAAAGGGTGAAATGTACAGATGCACCACACAATCTTCAAAAATAACAGACTTCCAAAACATGGGTAAAGTTAACATCAACTCAATTCAGCTCCTATGTCAAGTCTTCAGTACTGCTTTCATCTCCTTCGATATCATCACCTACATACAATTAATGAAATACAAAATAATTTAGCAATTTTGTTGCAAAAGTTCAATGACTTCAGTGATATATTTTAAAGTTATCACTCTATATCTACAACATGCATAAAATTCAATAAGATTTATGTATATGATTCTTTGGAATGGTCATTCTTGGAACAGATTCTGGAGGAGCTTCAAATGCCAACCAAAGTCATTCAGTAGTGGATCATGCAATGTGTTACTACAATCACTTATTCTATCTAGATAAATGGACATAGCACAACTCTTTTTAAGGCCAAGACGGGAGTGAGACAAGGAGATCCAATGTCTCCTTACCTGTTTGTGCTAGCTAGCCATGGATTACTTGACTAGAATTTTAAAGTACTTGCAGAAAAATACTGATTTCCACTATCATCCTAGATGCAAAAAAAAAGAACATAGTGCAGTTGAGCTTTGCTGATGATCTGCTAATGTTTTGTAGAGGCGATATAAAATCAGTGAAGTGTATTAGAAATTGTTTTATGATGTTCTCTAAAGCTTCAGGTCTGGTTGCAAATGAAGAAAAGAGTAGTGTCTATTTTGGAGGAGTCAATAAACAACAGTAAGAGGAGATTCTGCAGGAGTTAGAATATGTGAAAGGTGAACTACATTTTAGGTACCTTAATTGGAGTGCCCTTGAGTACTAAAAGGATTTCCATTATACAAATTTTGGAGCCCCTAGGTGGTTGTTCATCATGTATTTAGCAGTGAAAAGAAGACTTGCAACCAAAGATAGATTGGCAAAGTGGGGAATCATTCAAGTACTAACCTGTCCCTTATGCCAATCGGTAGATGAAGATCATGATCACAATTTTTTTTAATGTGCATATGCAACAGAGCTGTGGAGGAGTATACTACATTGGCAAGGAATAGAAAGAAATGCAATGAACTGGACTAATGAGATAAATTGGGCAGTGCACTACATGAAAGGGAGAAGCAGCAAGTCCCTTGTGTATAGAATGGCAATGGTAAACACAGTTTATCATTTATGGCTAGAGCGCAATACCAGAATTTTTCACAAAACAGCAGTCAATAAGCTACTTGACCAGGCATATAATTAAGGAGATACATGGAAGAGGCATTAGGTATCCAAGAATAACTACTAGATTAAGCACTTTAAATTCTTACCCATAGAGATAGCTAGCAGATGTGAGAACTTTGTTTAGCAAGGATAGAGCTTATGTCCATACCGACTACTTTTTGCTTTGTAACGTTTACTTGGTAAATAAAATGTTTACTTACCAAAAAGAAAAAATAATTCAATAAGATTCAAATGACATCAAGAAAATAGCATAGTTGCAAGAGATATTTGCATACTGCTTCTGGGAATTATACCAGCTAGAGTCTCTATTCAAGTACAGAATATGGCTGGTTTTTCTTCACAGGTCTGTGCAACTACTATATAGTGTTTGATAGACCAGCCTTTTAAGTGATATCTACTTCCTCATGTCTTAGAATGCCTCCTACAGTTTTGAGCTGGGAGATTTGGAAGCCTAGATGCAAAGCGAGATTTGAAGGCTCAAAGGTTTCTACTTACAGAGTTGCGGAACAGGTAAAAAGATTGATGATTCTAATTCTTAACAAACACTTTCCATGTCTTAATTTCAGAGGAAGTTGGAAAGAGTTGTGCAGCAAGATTGAAAGAGCAAAGCCAACTATTAACAGATCATGAAGACTAGCAATTTTAGAATAACTCACTGTTTCAGAGAAGCTAATGAAGTCGCTGATTTACTAGCCAATGTTAGGGTCATGGTAAAGCATGACACATTCTTTACTGAGGTGTTTTGTTTGCCTAGACAAGTGAAAGTTGCACTGAAGAATGATCAGTATGGCAGGCCTAATCTCAAGATCAGAATTAAAAAAAGACATTTCAGTTTCTAACATGTATTTATGCACTTTTATTTTCAGTTATTTTTATACCCTTCAGGGACATGTTATCTCAGATGTGAGTCTATCTTCGAGCTACATCCAAACTTATTGTCTATGTATACGACACTTTTTGTACAAGGATGAAATTTTCATCCTTATTAACCCCCATCATTACAAGCACAGTCAATACCTGCCATCTATATCTCCAATGTCATTGTCTTGCTTATAATGACTAGCATGTTAACCAAGTACGCCACGGAAGAGAAGCAGTGATTGCAAGACATTCAAAACACAATGGAATGCTTGCAATCATCTTCAAATCAAAAGACTACTACGTTATGATGATGGAAGAATGTAAGTATACAATTTGGGGTGGAATCTTAGCTGCAAAAGTAATCAAAACTGTCCACAAACAGGAGAACCAATCTTAATGAACAGAACTGGAAAATCTGATTCAGATTAGCCAGACACTAAAAGTAGGGGAAGAAGTAGGGTTAGGAAAAATGGGAGGAAAAATAGAAGCCAAAACCAACCCTCTCAAAAAAGAAAAGCAAAAAATGATAACACAGGCCATTCACAAGAGGTGTCTGCTACCACAGGCCATTCAGGCTAAAACGTACGTGTACTATAATATAAATATGAAATTGTCTTGAGATTCATTAGGCAATGATCAAGAGGGCTAGCTTACAAAACTCAAATCACCATCAATTCAGTTAACAAACTAGTCCACCAGGAAATCGAAAAATACACTGTTAAGTGTAGCCAAGAGTATTAATGTTTTCTACTGTCAAGAGAAAGTACAGTCACAACAGAGAAATGAAAAAGAGTTGCAAAAGAAAGATAAAGTAGTAGTAGAAGGAGAAGAAGAAATAGTCTAAACAGAGATTTAGCCACACTAACCTTGCTCAGCTGTTTGAGCAGAAGTAGCTTCTCTTGGTGAAGGAACAGACAATGCTGCTAGTATGTTAGGATCAATTAATCCTGCATGCTGAAGTTGTGCAACTACATCAGCAATAACTTCTTGTCGCATAGTTCTCCGTTGTTCCTCCATTTGTTTCTCCATTTTTTGCATCCTTTCTTGTCATTTGTTGCACTACATCATTTGTTGCATTTAAAGTTGGTTCAGAATTGTCAACTTTCTTTTTCAGAGTTGTCTTTGTAACCCCCACTCCATATAGTCTTAGATGTCCCGGATGTCAGGACCCATGACAGCTGAAAATGCATCAACAGACTGACCATTTGTGCTCATTTGCTTTTCAATTTCCTCCATTTCAGCCTAAGAAAACATATCCAACAAGCAGTTTTGTAAATTAAAATTTAGAATAAATAATTTGTCTTAATAAAAAAATATTATATTGACAGTATTCGTACAATTTTACTAGTTGTGTTCTCATTTGATGCCTTGTACAAACGATCAGGTTTTCTTGTTCTTGTGACCACAAAGAGCTCCTTAGCAGATACAGATTCCTTTTCTTTTTCCTAGTCACATAAAAATAGATATCAAGAATTTCTTAAATAAAAGGTTAAGCCTAGATAATAAATAAGAGAGCACACCAATTTACTGCGGATTAAAGCAAAACTCTTTTTGCCTGCTGTGTGTGGATTCATCAGCTTTTTCCGGTTCTTAGTATTTGTTTCAGACATTTTCTGCAAATAAATGAATCAATAATGTTAACCAAAGGCATATTGGTGCTCCAGAATGTACTAGATGAGGTGAATGTCTCAATATTTCTTTTTTAACAAATCCAACTAAAGAATATGCTTTGTAAGTACGAATGTTACTGTCATATGAAGCTAAAACCAATCTGTAGATTTCAGTGATCAAACTAAGTTTATCCAAAAGGGCACTTAGTTTAGTGAACCTTGATGCAAATTTCAGCGATCAAACTTAACTAATAAATAAGTTCTTAAGATTTTTTCTTTTTGAGTAAAGAGTTGAACACGTGACTTTTTATCCTGTTACATTTATATCTTATCAACTTCTAAATGAAATTACTGAGTTTGACATGTTGAGGATAATAAAACTTTATGAAACATAGAAGAGAATAGCAGAAGAGTTCAGTTAACCTTAATAGCAGAAGAGAAAGTTGATTCCCCTTCAGGCAAGAAATTAGGATGATTCACTTTCTTGGAAGCATTGCACCCTCAATGAAAATGCAGCTGCATGTTATATTGGTCTGATTATCCTTTGATTGTCTTCATTCACTGATTATTTCTTTCTTACTTACTAGCATATCTTTTAGTCGAAGGAAATGTGATAAACATAGATAATAACAGTTACATCCACCCTTTGGTCAATCATTTATCTTATTCAAGTCAGAGCACAATAGTCACCAACTATCTTCTTGCTGATGAAGATACTGTTACCTTTTTCATATACCAATATCAAATCATAATTTAATAATGAAAAGGAAGACATCCTATGCAAATTTGACAAATTGTGAGCTATAGATAGGATCATAGGAACAAGATAAGAGAAGAAAAAATGACTGATAACCACTCTTTTTATTGAAGTGTTTGTTATTCCCTATAAGAAAGGGCAGAAAAGCCATCCCTAATGTCTCACTCCCAACAACATTTCATAAAGTTTTATTATCCTCAACATGTCAAAAAAACTATCCTGTTACATTTGTGACTACCACACTGGAAGAAGTAACAAGCTGCAACAATATTGCAACAGAGAAGATAATAGCAGAAGAGAAAGTTAAAGAAAAATAAAGTTGCAGCAACAATTACATCACAAAAGAGATTCAGGAGAAGAATAAGCTGGATGTTTGAGATTCTGAACTACATTTTACCTTGAATTTCTCAGACTTCCAATATTTAAAGAGCTCTCTATACTGACATTCTGGAATATGACCAGGCTTTTTTGCCATTCGAATTTCATCATTGTCATAAGGATCGTAATAATTTATCTTCAAGTCACGTCTATGCCTTCTCCAAGCCTCTCGAATTGTTACCAAAGCCCAATCTTTTGCAGCTTGTCTATGCCTTTTCCAAGCCTCTCGAATTGTTACCAAAGCCCAATCTTTTGCAGCTTCAGGAATAATGTATTTCTCCTACAATTTGGTGTCATTTAGTTTGCCAATTGAAATAAAATAATTTTACAAGAAATTAAATATTGGAAACTCCAAACCTTAGTATAATCCCATAAATCCTTTTTAGTATCCATGCTCCTCCAATCAAATATATCAAATGGGCAAAGAGTCGCATTTCTTGCCAATGTACCTAGAAAGCTACTTAACTCTGTCACAACGTCTTCAGTAGGACCAACTGGTTGATTTAGCTTATTCAATAAGATCAGTTTACGCTCTTTTCGTGCATGTACATTATGCATTTGTGTTTGACCTATTTTGTTTTTACTGGAAACACCTTCAGCTATAAGAAAATATAAGAAAATATAAGAAATTAGAATTCATAGATGAATTTAGTAAGTTTCTAAGTTTATATCTTACATTGTTCTTCAGGTTGTTCACCAGTTGGAGGAGTGACAGAGTTCATTTGCACTTGATCCTCTATAGGTTCCTGCTCAAGAGGCTGCTCCTCTACAGATTGTCCATTAGCTTCAGATTGTGGTGCTTCTGGTTGTTGTTCAATCAATTTAAGCAGATGTCCTTTCTCTGACTCTATAGCTTGAACAATTTCATTTGTTGTCAATAACCGTCGTTTTTTATTTGCCAAGAATGATAATGATCCAGGTTTAGCATATGTCTTATTTTTTGCTCTTTTGTTTCTTTTTGAAGACTCTTGTTGACTCATGACTATCCAAATCTGTGTAAAATAAGACAGAAGAAGCCTCTTAGTGCAGAATTTTCAAATGTGAAGAACAAAAATAATGAAAGTGAGAAGAACAAACAACCGTAGGATCAGTAGCTGAAGCATATTATCAAGAATAATTCTCCTCTTGATTCTTATTTGAAAAAAATTGCTGGTCAAGAAATCACTTTTCAACCATCCAACAAGGAAAATTCTAGCTCAGGGAAGATGAATAACAAGCAATGGATTCGAGCTGAAGTTGATTAACTAATTTATATCTTAACTAGTTTGAAATCTAACTTTCGAGAGCCTGCTACTCAATGGGATTTTAGAGAAATGGCAGAAGATGCAAAGAGAAGTATAACAAAGCAATAAACAAAGAATCTTAATTACTAATATATCTATAGTACGTACCAACATTAGCAAGAAAATATTCCAGAACAAATAAGCAGAAATCAAACAACTAGCAGTAGCAAATAGGCAGGAATCCAAATAGAGTCCAATCGACATTCATACTTTATATTGTTGTGCCGTAATTTGACTATCTCTAGAAAAATCACTTTTTGAAATGTTCTAAGTATAAAACAATTTGAGAAATACTTAGAAAGAGTCGCCACTTAATTTTTTAAAGAAATTAAGAAAACTTATAAAATTTCAAAGATTTAAACAGAAAAAATCATTTGAAAATACCAAAGAGGGTTCGGGGTTCAATTTACACTTCGAGAAGGGTTTAAGCATTCGAAGTGCCCGCTAACATGCGGTTGACCTACGATTTGACCAAAATATATTTGACTATTTTTTAGAAAAAATGTGATTTAACATAATAATAATAATTTACAATATTTGGCTAACTTTGAGAAAAACATAAATGACACGCCCCTTTTTTTTTTTCTTTTTTTTTTTTAGAGAAAGGTATCCAAAATAAAACATTTGAGTCGAAATATATTAAAGAATATGTTGTTGTTTTATTTATTATTTTTATTTTTATTTTTTAGAACAAAAGATTTAACTTAAAACTGTATAATTTGGCCAACATATTTAATTAATAAAATAAATATTAAAAGTTAACCAACACAAAGGAAATAACTTATCTTTTGGGGAATCTAATTAAGTTAATTAAAAAATTATAAAAGTTAGAGTTAAATAACAAACAATAAATAATCACAATTAAATAATTAAAGAGTAAGAGAGAAATTGAATTTGGGCCTCCTTTGGGCCAATTTCGCTGGATTTTTTGGGGTTTTAACCCAATCCCGTTTTTGGTATACAGCTGATGTATATCAATGTATATCAGCGTGTGCGTAGGCTCTTTTCATGTATCTCTTGCTTCCGAACACCTATATTTCACCTCAGCCCTATATATTTCATTTCTTGACCTGTATATTGATGTATATCTGTTGTATATCGTTGTATATTTGCCATTTTCCACCTGCGTTTTTGGCTTCCAAGAGCCTGTTCCAGCTTCTTTTTCACCGAATATATGAGGATGACTCAAAACGACTCAAGGATATGCAAGAGTGGAGTCCAAAGTGAACTCGAATGGAATTTCATATGCAACGAAAAGCGAGTATAAAAATTAGTGTACGAATTAAGGGAACAATTAAGACGTAACTTAAAATTAAGATGAAAGTGGCTTAAATATTTTTTGACATGCAAATATTACTAAAGTCACTGTTAGACCAAATTAAGACCAAAAGGTCACTAAATTCAACACAAAATAGGAGGTAATAAAATTTATACTAAGGTAATGAAAATCAAGCCATATGGAACTTCCAAAGCACATGCCCACATATATGTATATATGACTAAAATTTATAAGCAATAATTGATGCAATCCAAAGATACATTAAAGAGTTAACATCACCTCATACAATACGAAACTAGCTTTATCTATGGAGACTTAAAGGTTGCCGATTTGTCATATCAAATGATCAAAATTGAAGACAATAGCCAATTAACTCATTATAGGCAAAGAGAAAATAACCACATTTAAATAGCTTAAACTAGGCAACATAAGCAAATATGTTAAACAATGGCATAATACAAAACAATGTTCATATCACTGTTGAATATTAACGTTCAAGTGAATAACTAAGTTACACAACAAGTTAAAAAATCATAAGGATATTTTTAGACTTTGGACAAAGATGGGGAGAGCTATTTTTTTGGAAAATAAGAGTAATCTTAGTTAAATCGTCACATTAAAATGGTAGAGTCACAAGCATCCCGTCATGAGTTTAAATCCAAAGAGATATATACCACTCAAGTTGACTGAAAACAGAGGATAGATATATCTACTACGCGAATTTAAACTAGTATTAACAAGGAACCTTCACAGTAAGAAACATCAAGGCCATAATTTTTTAAGTCTACTCAGCACTCACAAATATGCCTAATTGGATAAGTTATTAAAATAAGAACCTAAAGCCATGCTTGGATTAACTAGATCACTGATGACATAATCCTCAAAATAGCACCAGATTTCCGAACAATGCATTTAAATAAGAGCTTTTAGGACATTTCGATAGTAACAAATTAAAACATAGAGGTTAAGGCTGTCTCATTACACAAACCCATATTACTATTTTAAACAATAATTTCACATTCTGAAATAAAAAAAAAAAAAAAAGACATACCTTAACACTTAGATACAATTCTAAGGGAAATTTTAACAAAAGAAACAATCACGATTTCAAGAAATTAATTAATCTAGCTAAAATATTACTCAAAATAAACATACAAGAACACTTTTCTTCAATTGAGGGGTAAGGGTGTGAAGCAAAATACATGAAGTTTCCACTGTTTTCTCATTCTCAAACCAAAGCAACAACAGACAGTGAGAAATGAGGACATTGCACCATAAAACTAGCTACTACATCATCCTAATTCATGCATTATAGCACTAAGGGAGTTCAACCGGAAAGAAACAAATATAGATATGCAACTACTTCACCAAACAGAGAACAAATTAACTGAAATAAAAATGAAATGAGAGAAGAGGAGTTGTTACCTTCCAAAGTGCAGCGAATGGAGACGAAAACGAGCGAGGTAACAACGATTCCTCCACCAGTCAGCGACTTAAAACCTCTTATAGATTTATATTTGCCTATACCTTGCTATATTTTTTTTTTTTATCTCCCTTTCTTTCTTTTTTTATCCCCCCCATAACATGGATTGAAAGAGGGAATATATAGAAGGAGAAAGAGTCGTTTTTTTTTGGGGGGGGGGGGAAACCATTGAGAATTCAAACAAAATTTTCAATCCCTTCTGCTATTTTCGAAACTACAGTAAAGGTGATGGGAAATTTCTGAAACAGGAAAAAGGGGATGGGACGACTGCTGCAAGGTATGGGCGATTTCGCGAATTTCTCGCCGGATCTGCCGGGATTTTCACGTGAAGAAGAAGAAAATGGACGCAGGGGTCGTCTGGAATTGTATGCGTACTGCTGTACGCTTTGGAACTTGGAAGGGAAAGGGGGATGGGGTCGGTTTTGGTGTTGAAAATTGGGCTGGGCGCAGGTTAGTTGGTGGACTGCTGAAAAAGGGGTATGGAATTGGAATTGTTGAGTTGTTGTTTGGAATGGGTTTCTTTAGGTGGGCTGCTAAGTGGGCTTAAAGGATTGGAGTGGAATTTGGCCCGTTTCTTGGCTGAAAATAGGGTCAAAATGTGGATGGGTTTTGCAAATTAGGAAATAGTCACAAGAATTGCAATTATGGCCTATGAAAATTGACAAGTTTGCCAAATTGAGTTTAATTGGTGATTCGACTAAAAAGCCAAATAAGACGAATTAATATAAATTAATTAATGAGTTTCTTAATCTCAACAAAATAAAAATAATGAACTTAATTATAAATTAATTAATTCAATTACAAAACTAATGAACTCGAAATTATAACTATAACTTAAAGTAAATTAATAAAATATTTAACTAAAATGTAAAATCTTTTGTGATAATTTTTAAATATTTATAAAATAGCGTGATTGCAAAACTATACATACTTATTATTAAAAGTGATAAAATTACTTTAAAAATAACTTGAAAGTATTTTGAATTTCATGAAACTCATTAACTCAAAATTATAACCATCCCTAATATAATATAAAAAATAAAAAGAAACTTTTTGAGATGATTTTTGAATAATCATAAAATATACTAATTATATACATAATTATGTAAAACATATATATTATCTAAAAATTATGGAAAGTGACAAAACTATTAAAAGTCTTGCAAAACTATAGTGTTATTTTATGGAAATTTTATAAAACTACTTATTTTTAAATCGTTTGAAATTGGAGAAGCTCAAAATGATTAATTTATATTGTGGAAGGTCAAAATTGGGTGTCAACATATATGATGCAACTCAAAAGGGTATTTATTACTCACTACAAAAAAGTTAAGAAGAGAATGTATTTGAACAAGTTTGGAAGATCCTTTGTCAATCATCAGCCTCCATCCAATCCCAATCGGTATCATCAAAGTCATCCTCCTCTTCTGATATTTCCATAGTTACATCTTCTGAATGTTGTGCAAGGGCAGGCAGATCAATGATATCAACAGGGAGATCTTCTCTCGACCATCTAACATCTACATCGAGTACTATTTCTAATGAACCAATGTCATCGTTAGTCTCTCTCCAAAATGTTTCTTCAATATTAGGACAATTCTCTTCCTCCAAATCATACAAATTCACCGGGACTTTATTTCTTGCATAATATACATTTTTTCTCAATTGGGTCTTCCACATAAAAAACTTGATGCACTTGAGATGCTAGTACAAAAGGATCATTCGTGCTGCATTTTTTATTAAAGTATACCCGAGTCAATCCATATTCATCGACTTCGTTATGAAACCAATCACATCTAAAAAGTACAACACTAAAGCAACCCCAATAATCAATCTCAATGATATCCTGAATAATTCCATAATAGATAACCATTCCATCGATAGGATTTTGGTTTCTAGTACTAGCAAAACTATATGTTGTTGCTGACAAAGTCA